TATAGCAATAGATATATTTTTTTAGAATATTGTGTTTATTGAATTTTATGCTTTTAAAAGAATCATTTAGTTTGTTAAAATAGAAGAAAATAAATCATTTAATAAATCAATTAATTTTATCATAATTCTAATCATGATGAATTAACAATAGCATATAATTTTCGAAACCTTTATATGTGGCGATTTTATCCTAGTTGAATCTTTTATGAAGAAAAAGTGAATCACAATTAGATTTTTTAGAATATTAAGTATATTGATAGGTAGAATGAGCGATAGTAAAATTATGATATTCTTTATATAAAAGTTTAAGTCTTTTGTTGTAATTTGTTAGATTAGAGTGAATTAAGTAGATTGGATAATTTTATTGATTATAATTAGTAGAAATATTATTATGATGATTGAGGTGTCTACGTATGATTTTAGTATTATGAGTTAAGCAAATTTGATTAGTGCAATTAGAATTAAAGTTTGTATGTGTTTTGTTTTGAGCTTACATAACTTTGAAAATGTTAAGTAGAAAAAAATATAAAAAAGTAATAAAAAGTATATATATATAGAAAAGTTGTGGTATATACTATGTTATATTGTAAAACAAATATGTAGCAGTATATAATGATAAAGAAAATTTATTTATATAGCATAATTTAAGCAGTATTTTTATATGTATGTAGTTTTATTGGTATGTAGATCAGATAGATATATATATTTATTTAATATAAAATTTTTTCAAAAATATATAGTTATTGATTAAGATAAGACAAAATTATATATATATTTATATGGTAAATAATCTTGATAAAAAACAATTATTCAATAACAGTTGGTTGATTAGCATTGTTAGGGTTATCATTTGATACTTGTTTGGTGTTGTTAGTATTATCTTGTGATATCAGATTAGTATTTTTAATTTGCTTTATAGCATCTAAAAAAGTAGGTTAAGATTCAGAAGGTTTTTGTGTTTTTGAAAAAGTAGAAGGTAATAAATTTGATTTTATTTTTCTTGAGTTGGAGGAGTTAATTTAGTATATTTTTCTTCAATAGTTTCAAGATGATTATTGATATCGCTTTGAGGTTTTCCTTTTCTTTTTCCTTTATTTGAGTTTTCAGAGAACTGTTCACTGCCAGCATAATTCTATTCGATGTCAGAAGCTATGATATAAAGCATTTTTTTAGCACCAATTTTAATCTTTCGATTACAAAAAGGACAATTCTTTTTAAGTTGTTTTTGAGTAAGTCATAATGCCTATTTTGGTTAGAGTAAGATACAATTACTTCAGATTCTACATTTCTGTAGCTATTGATACCGTTGTAAAGTTTTTTAGAGAACATAAAACTTTCTATCCTGAGCTCACTATTTAAAAAGTAGGAATCAGGGATGACAGAAGCAAAAACAGTAAAAGAAGTGGTAAAGGAGGAAGATTATCCAGAG